ACCAATGGAATAGAAGACAAAGACAAACCCACACAGACACAGTCATCTGATCCTGGTCAAGGAGAAAAGATAGCTTTTTTTAAAAAAAAAAGATATTATGCTGGGAAAACTGGTTATCCATATGTAGAAAAATGGGACTAGATCCTTATTTCTTACTCTAACCAAAAGTCCACTCACAATGGATCATAGATCTAGAAATTAGACTGGAAATTTTGCAACTGCTGGAAAAAAACATAGGGTCAACACTTAAACATGTAGGTGCAGGCACAGGCAACAACTTCCTCAAATAGGACCTCTAAAACTCCAGAAATAATACTAAGAAATAATAAATGGGATATTTTAAAACTTCTGTGCAGCAACAGAAACAAGAATTTTAAGAAAGGACCTATAAGGGCTGGGGCTCAGAGACAGGATCTATAGGGCTAGGGCATGCATGAGGCACTGGGTTTGATTCTCAGCAATGCATAAAATAAAATAAAGATATTGTTTTCACCTATAACTAAAAAATAAATATTAAAAAAGAAAGGACCTATAAAATGGGAGAAAATTTTTGCCAGCTACCATTCTGACAGAGACTATCTAAAATATGTAAAGAACTCAAAACACTTAACACCAAAAAAAAACAAACAGCCCAATCAATAAGTGGGCAAATGAAATAAACAGACAGTTCTCAAAAGAAGAAATACAAATGACCAGCAAATGAAAATATGTTCAACCTTTTTAGCAATTAGGGAAACGAAAATCAAAACTACAATGAGTTTTTATCTCACTCCAGTTAGAGTGGCAGTCATGAAGAATACAAATAATAATAAATGCTAGAGAAGATGTGGAGAAAAAAAGAACACTTTTATACTACTAGGATTGTAAATTAGTACAACCACTATAGATATCAGTATGGCAGTTCTTCAAAACACTAGGAATGGAACCATCAAATGACCCAGCTATACCACTACTTGGTATTGATCCAAAAGAATTAAAGTCATACAGTAGGGATACAAGCATACCCATGTTTATAACAACACAATTCACAATAGCCAAATTATGAAACTAGCCTAGGTGTCCTTCAATAGATGTATTGATAAATAAAATGTGATATATATACACAATGGAGTTTTGTTCAGTCATAAAGAACAATAAAAATGCATCATTTGCAGGAAAATGGATGGAACTTATGAGTATTATATTAAGCAAAATAAGTCAAACTCAGAAAGTGGAGAGTCATATGTTTTTCTCTCATATGTGGAAGCTAGAAAAGAAAAGTGGGGAAAGAGTTGATGGGGGATCTCATGAAAATCAAAGGGAGATCAGGAGAGTAATGGAAAGGGATGAGGGAAGGAAAGAAGGGAGAGAAGGGAAAGGAGAAACACTAGGGAATTATTTTATCAAGTTATCCTGTTTTATCATGTGCAGGTATGAATATATAACAACAAATCCCACTATTATTTACAATTATAATACATCAATAAAAATATGGGGAAAGACTGCTAAAATTTCTTTAAAAAAATTAATTAAAAATTTTAAGAAGAGGCTGAGGATGTGGCTTAGTGGTAGAATGCTTGCCTAGCATGTGCAAAGCCCTGGGTTCAACCCTCAGCACCACAAAGAAACAGAAAAATCACTCTGGCACCATGTGGGGAAAGGAGTGGAAGGAGAAGAGATGGAAGACAGGAAGGCTGAACAGAAGATCTTTATATTTGTTCAGGTAGGATCTAATATAAGGGTGTGAACTAGAGTGGTAGCAACAGGGATGGAGTAGGAATAGATTCATTAGGTATTTAAAAGGTGATTGTAAGATATGTTGACAGAATAGATGTGAAGAGATGAAAAATGAAGAGTAATAGTTATGTTCTGTCAAGGCTCCATTTCTCCAAGGTAGCAATTCAGCTCTGGCCCAGACTTGCATAACTTGACTCAGCAAAACAAAACCTGCATTTAGCATATCGACCCTTCTTGAAGAGCACATGAATTACCATCTCCCATTCATTGAGCAAAGTCTTTAAGCATCTTATTTTTCATCTCAGTTTATCAGAATTAACCAACTCCTACAGACTCCTGCTAATCTGCAGGCTTAGTCCCTAAGTACTGTCCTGCATGATTTAAAATTAAGCCACATATAGCACCTCTCTTTAGGATTTCTGGCAAATAAAATTTTCTCCAGGTTATAAATAAACGTGTGGAAGAATGGATGAATGGATAGATGGGTAAGTGAATTAATGAGTAAAGGAACATCTAACATTTGCAATCTTAGGTGCTATAGAAAGAAATGTTTGTTGTGTGCCCTATCTGCACAAAATCTTTGTGTATGTCTAAGAAACACTGCAGCAATATTTTATTTATTCCTCCTATGCCTTTGCCTCTGCTTCCTGAGCTTCTCAGAACCAACTCCTACAGACTCCTGCTGATCTGCAGGCTTAATCCCTAAGTACTGTCCTGCGTGATTTAAAATTAATTCACCCTTCCTGATCTAAAGGTCCAGACAGGTCTGAGCTCCTGCACAGCTACCAGGTCTCAGTTCTCCTCACTCCTCCCAAGCCATGTCTTATTCCTCTGTAAGAGTATCTAATCCCCTTCTCTGTCTGGAGCCTGGCCCTATGCACCGGCTCTTTAACAGGAGAGTCTTGTAGCCCAATTGATATCCAACTAATTATAAACCCTAATATGTAATCATAAAGGAGCTTGTAATGGAGTCAGTTTCATATCTGTACTCCCAGTGCCTATCACAGGGCTATGCATGCAATAGATTCAATCACTGCTTATTAAACAAAAAGGCTAAGCTGAGCTGTGATGCACACCTGTAATTCCAGTGACTCAGGAGGCTGAGGCAGGAGGATCAAAAGTTCCAGGCCAGGGCTGGGGATGTAGCTCAAGCGGTAGCGCGCTCACCTGGCATGTGTGCGGCCCAGGTTTGATCCTCAGTACCACATACAAACAAAGATGTTGTGTCCGCCG